GGACCCCCTTCCATCTCCCCCGAGGACAATCCCAATTCCAGGGACCCCTGTCCACCCCCCCCCAAGGACAATCCCAATTCCAGGGACCCCCATCCATCTTCCCCGGGGCATTCCCGGTTCCCGGAGATCGCCGGACCCCTCCTCAGGACATTCCCTGTTCCCAGTGACCCCCGTGCATCCCTCCCGGGACCCTCCCGCACCCCGTGCATCCCTCCCGGGACCCTCCCGCWTCCCCGGGACCCCCGCCCGGGTCACTCACGGCGCGGAGCACACGGGGACCGCCGGGCGCTCCCTTATCCAGGCGCACCCACTTGTTGGCCATGGCTTTGCTGAAGCCCAAGGAGCCCCCGGGCAGTTTCTGCGGGGACACGGCGGCCGTGAGCGACGGGCAGCCCGCCGCCGGTTCCCCCCCGCTCCGGTGCCCCCGGTACCCACCATGGCATCGGCCTGGGGCAGCCCCTCCTCGGGGAGGCTCCGGAACAGCCGCACCTCGGGGCTGCCGTCCCGCAGCACCTGCTCGCCTTCGGGGCTCAGCTCCCATCGCGTATCCGCCCGCGCCTCCGCTTCGATCACCTGCACCGGCACCGGSATCAGCACCGCCAGCGGCGCCCCGGGGCTCCCCCCCGCGCCCCGGCCGCGCCGCCCGCACCTCGCCCAGCGCCTGGAGGCTCTTGACGGCGCCCACGAGCGTCTGGTGGTCCACACCGAGCGCGGCGGCGGCCTCGATGCTGCAGAGCCCCTCGGTGGCCCCGGCCCGGTCCAACCGCTCCAGGAGGCGCTCGGCCACGCTCGGCGCCATGGCCGGAAGTGATCCCGGGCCTGCCGGAAGTGTGGCTGCCGCACCAGGAAAGGGGTGCGCCATCTTGAGTGTGGCGCGAGCGCCGCTCTGCGGGCGGTGGGCGCCATGTTGAGTGTGGCGGGGGTTGTACAGGTGGATGCGGGGGGGCGCCGTGACGTCATGAAGGTGTACAGTGACGTCATGAGGAGCGAGGCAACTCCACCACAGATCTCAGAGGGCTGATGTGACTTAAAGATTCGTTAGCGCAGCCCCCACCCAGGGTTCACCTTCTTTGTGTCCACACCTGCTGTGGCATCACTTAATCAGTGATATCATCACCGAATCACGCCGCTGTATAGAGGCAGAAGCGAGGAGGAGACTCCCCCACCGCTCGTGTCCGTTCCCCCGTCCCCATATCCCCAATCCCCACTTCGATTTCCTCCCCCCAACTCCGGGGCCTGGCCCTTTAAGAGCGCGCGCGCCCACGTGACCYCGGGAGCGAGGCGGGGGGGCGGGGGGCGTCTCCCTCCGAACGCGTGGTCGCTCCTCATTGGCCGCCGCGCTCAGCCAATGGGAAGCGGCCATCTGGGACGCCAACGTTCGGGGGCGCCGTCGCCGCCGGCCGGCGGGCGGGGAGCCAATGGGAGCGGGCCGCGCGCGGGCTCGGGCCAATGGGAGGGCGGCAGAGGCGGGGCGAGGGGCGGCGGGAGTATAAAAGGCGACGGCACCTCCTCCCCCCTCCGCAGTGCCGGGCGGCGCCGGGCTGGGACGGACTGAGCGAGCGTGCCCTGATCCCCCGCCATGAGCCCTCTCAGCCTCCTCGCCCCCGTCCTGCTCGGAGGCCTCCTGGCGGCCGCCGGCCCCACCCAGTTCTTCCGCGAGGAGTTCGGGGATGGAGGTGAGGGAGGGGCCGGGGCGGGGGTCCCTGAGGGCGGGGCCTGGGGGGGGCTCCTGAGGTGAAGGGGTTTGGGGGGGGCGGTGCCTGAGGCGGTTGGGGGGGCCTGAGAGGAGGGAGGAGGACTACGGGATGACCCCCGTGTAATATTTGAAAGGCAAGAATGGACGGAGCACCCCGTTTTCTGTGAGGGGAGAATGGGGAGATTCCCCAGTGATTTGTGAGGGGARAGAACACGAGGACTCATCTATGATCTCTGAGGGGAAAAAAGGGGAGCCCCCCTGTTTATCCTGAGGGGAAAGAATTGAGGGATCCCCCCGTATTCCGTGAGGGGAAAATGGGTTGATTTTCCTGCGTTCTTTGACAGAAGAATGGGGGGGRCCCCCTGTGTTTTGTGAGGGAAGAAATAGTGGACCCCCGCCTGTAATTTCTGAGGGGAAAAGGGGAAGGATCCACCTGTGTTTTGTGAGGGGAGAAAATAGGGGAACCTCATGTGCTTTCTGAGGAGAGAAGAGACACAGGAGGGTAATCCTCAGGTGTGGGGAGTGAGTGGGAGTCGGGACAGGGACAGTGAGGGTGCTGAGGTGTCAAAAGGGTGGGGGTCACTGGAGGGACAGGCTGCTGGGGCTCAGGGTCAGCCCTCAAACAGAGCAGGTGAACAAGAGCTGAAAAAGCAGGAAAAGGAAGGTGAGGAGGTTGSAGAGAGCTCCTGGSTGCTTTTGCTTTTCCCTAAAACTCCAAACCCTTCAGCACCCCAGCAAGAGACCCGCTCAAAGCCTGAGCTCTYGGGGGGTGGSAGCAATTTGGGGGTGCAGGGGTTGGAATCCTGAACACTCTCCCCACAGACGCCTGGACCCACCGGTGGGTGGAATCCAAACACAAACCCGACTATGGCCGCTTCGTCCTCACCGCCGGCAAATTCTACGGCGACGCCGACAAGGATAAAGGTGAGTTTCGGGTGCTGGCAGGTGAGGAAAAGACCCCCGGGGGTGGGGTTTGCCCCCTCCCCACCATGCCCCACATCCCACAGGGATCCAGACCAGCCAGGACGCTCGGTTCTACGCCCTGTCCTCCCGCTTCGAGCCCTTCAGCAACCGGGACAAGACGCTGGTGGTGCAATTCACCGTCAAACACGAGCAGAACATCGACTGTGGTGGTGGCTACGTGAAGCTCTTCCCGGCCAGTCTGAGCCAGGAGGACATGCACGGCGATTCCGAGTACAACATCATGTTTGGTGGGTGTTCCTCCTGCCCTGCAGCCCCCTCAGGGTGGTCTCAGCCCCCTCAGGGTGGTCTCACACCCCTCAGGGTGGTCTCACACCCCTCAGGGTGGTCTCACACCCCTCAGGGTGGTCTCACACCCCTCAGGGTGGTCTAACACCCCTCCCTGACCCCCCGTGTTCTCTCCCAACAGGTCCTGATATCTGCGGCCCCGGCACCAAAAAGGTGCACGTGATTTTTAACTACAAAGGGAAGAACGTGTTGATCAATAAAGACATTCGCTGCAAGGTGGGTGTGGGGTTTTTTTTGGGGTTCTGCTGTCCTTTTTTGGGGTGTTTCCAGCCCTGCTGAGCCCACYCTGTGCCCCCAGGATGATGAATTCACCCACCTGTACACGCTGGTGGTGCGGCCGGACAACACCTACGAGGTGAAGATCGACAAYGCCCGCGTGGAGTCGGGGAGTCTGGAGGAGGATTGGGATTTCCTCCCCCCGAAAAAGATCAAAGACCCCGAGGCCAAGAAACCCGACGACTGGGACGAGCGGGCCAAGATCGATGACCCCGAGGACACCAAGCCTGAGGTGGGGAGGGGGTCTGGGGGGGCTTTTGGGGAGCTCTGGGAGGGGTTGGGAGTAACTTTGGGATCTCCAGGAGCTTTGGAGGGGCGTGGAAACAGCTCCTGGTGGAATTTGGGGCCAGCTCTGAGGAGAATGAGGGATTCACAGAGGGACTGGGCAAAAATCTGGGAATTTGGGGAATTTAGAGGGGTCTGGGGCACCACTCTGGGGAGTTTAGGGGTAACCATGACACCCCCTTGACCTTTCCAGGACTGGGACAAACCCGAGCACATCCCAGACCCCGACGCCAAGAAACCTGAGGATTGGGACGAGGAGATGGACGGGGAGTGGGAGCCCCCTGTGATCCAGAACCCCGAGTACAAGGTGAGCCCTGGGGGCTGCAGAGCCCCCCTGACCCCCATTTTGCCCCTCCCGGCCCCCATTTTGCCCCTCCCGGCCCCCATTTTGCCCCTCCCGACCCCCATTTTGCACCCCCTGACCCCCATTTTGCCCTTCCAGGGCGAGTGGAGGCCGCAGCAGATCGACAACCCCGACTACAAGGGCAAGTGGGTGCACCCCGAGATCGACAACCCCGAGTACAGCCCCGACCCTCTGCTCTATTCCTACGACAGCTTCGGGGTCATCGGCCTCGACCTCTGGCAGGTGAGGAGGGGTCTCAGACAGCCCGGGGGGGGTCCTGAGGGGCTGCAGGACCCCCCTGACCTCCCCATTCCCACAGGTGAAGTCAGGCACCATCTTTGATAATTTCCTGATCACGGATGACGAGAAGCTGGCGGAGGAGATCGGGAACGAGACCTGGGGGGCCACCAAGGTAAAGGAGGGGACAAGACCCCCCTGAATCCCCCAGACCCTCCTGAGCCCCCCGTGACCTCCCCACCCCTCGTGCAGGACGCAGAGAGGAAGATGAAGGAGCAGCAGGACGAGGAGCAGCGGAAGAAGCAGGAGGAGGAGGAGAAGCAGCAGAAAGACGAGGAAGGGGACGATGATGGCGATGGCGATGAGGAGGAGGAGGATGAGGAAGAGCCCGAAACCGAGACCGAGGAGGTGGAGGCGGCCCCGCGGGACGAGCTGTGAGGGCCCCGCGGCGGGACCGTTCTGTCTCTGTGAGACCTGGACTCTTTTCTATGGGCGCCGCTGCCCGCGGGCCCGGGGGAGCCGCGACCGCGCCGGGACCGAACCGGCACGGCCGGGACCGAACCGGCACCGGGCGCCCCGTGGGGCGAGGACTCAGGACCAGCGCCGGGGGTGGGGAGGGTGCGGTTTTGGGGCGGGGGGGAGCACCGGCGGTGTCGCACGGGACTGTACGGGGGTGTCGCGATCCGGTTTCTATTAAATTAACGATCGTCCCGGCGCCGTTGACTTTYGCCTCTCGTTCTTTCCTCCGCCCGCGCCATGTTGCGCTCGCCGCCATTTTGTGCCGCCGCGCTCGTCACGTGACCGCGGGCGGCCCGGACTTTTACCCCCCTCCGGCGTCACGTGACGAGGGACGGTTCGACTTTCCACCTCTCCGGTGTCACGTGACGGAGGGGCGACTGCACGCGCGCGGCTTTCTCGCGTCACGTGATCATCGCGCGGCTTCAAAAACCGTTTTCCTGAGTCACGTGACGAGGGAGCGCCCCCGCGCGCCGTTCCCGTGTCACGTGATCAAAGAAAAAAAAGGCACCGTGGGCGAGGGGGCGGGAGGCGCGCGCGCGCGCGGGCGCCGTGATGCACTTCCGGTGCCGCGGCGGAAGCGGCGGGGCCGCCTAAGATGGCGGCGGCGTGAGTTGCATGTTGTGGGGCCGCCGGGAGGAGCCGCCGCCCGCCCCGTCCCCGTCCCCGTCCCGCCATGGCGGTGACCGTGACGCTCAAGACGCTGCAGCAGCAAACCTTCAAGATCCGCATGGAGCCGCACGAGACGGTGAGGCCGCGGCGGAGCCCGGGATGGGCCCAGGCCTCGCCCCCCCCCCCCCCCCCYYCCCCCTCAGCCCGCGCCGCCCTCAGGGGGGTTCGGAGCCTCCCGGGGCTCTCCGGGATGGGAGAGGGCGGGGAGGGGTCGCTCTGTCCCCCTCACCCCCATTTTGGCCCTGAGGGGCTCCGCGTGTCCCCAATTCGGGGCGCGGTGAAGCCAAAGCTGCGGGCCCGGGAGCGGCGGCTCCGTTTGCTCCTCTCCCCCCGATTTTGGGTTGTTTTCTCCTCATTTTGGGGTTCATCAAAAGCTCTCCAAGAGGAGGAGAAGCGATTTGCGTCATTTGTGGGCTCCGTGTCCCCCCACCCCTCATTTTGGGAGGGGGAACGCGCGCGGAGGCTCCGGATTTTCCCGAATTTGTTTTTGATGGGTAAACCCGAGGGGCGCTCCTGAGCGGGGAGGGGGCTCCGTGCGCCCCYKTTTTGGGTCAAATCTCCCGTTATTSATCACCCTGAGCYCCMTCCGGACCCYTCCCACTYTSGGRGGATRATTTGGGGAGATTATTTARSAAAAYCATTSAAAATATCYGGAATTTTTGCYTCCCYCTACWCCGSTTTAACTCCYYTGYWTTRAGGGGGGTTCYGGRGRTTTTGGGGCTGTTTTTGGGGYGCTCTGACCCCTCCCCCGGTGCAGGTGCGGGCGCTGAAGGAGAAAATCGAGGCGGAGAAGGGCAGCGATGCCTTTCCCGTGGCGGGACAGAAACTCATCTACGCCGGGAAGATCCTGAGCGATGATGTCCCCATCCGCGAGTATCGCATCGACGAGAAAAACTTCGTGGTGGTCATGGTGACCAAGGTGGAGCCCCGGGGAGGGGTTTGGGGG